GAATCCAGTATCTGACTCGGAGGCAGAAACATACTTTTTGATAAATGATAATGTAACTTAAGAGAGTCTGTTCAGGAAATGACCTTTTTGCTCCTTCCAAAATAATCAGCATGGTTTGTATTAATACCCCCACGCAAAGTGCAGAAGAGAAGCCACGGGGCTGATGTAGGAGCAGCTGTCTCACACAGCTAACTCACTGGCTTTCTACGCGACTTGAGATCAGAAGTTTCTCAGGAAGAAACACTTCAGTCATACTGTGGAGGGCTGCATTGTTACTGAGTTCAAAAGGAAGTCAGGTTGGAGACAGAGGGTTGGAAAATCCAATCAACTCATAGGGAAACATGACACAGCAAACTTAATTTCAGATGGGTTTCCTTGTAACTGTTTTATTGCATACATAAGGGCAAGATTCTCAAATAGCAACTCCTCTGCCATTTAAGCAATAACAACAAAAAAAAAATCCCCCAGGTGAGGTGACTTCAGACACACCTAAACCTTGGCACCAGACAGACAGATATTACAAATCTCCTTCAGCAAATTGTGTAGAACATGTTATTGCTGATAATTCTTCCCAGTCCATTAATGCTTAGCTGTTTTGCTCTCCTGGAAACCATTGTTGAGCTATTTCTTTCATTTGAGACAATTTTCTTCTCTTTGGATATAGAGGAACCAAAATTCAGTTTCAGAAATAAAAAATGAAAATAATTGAAGTACAGTCAAATGCTGTATTTCCTTGGCTAGGAGATTCTGACCTGGATCTAAGCCAAATTTGTTTTTAAAGAAGTTAGGTTTGCTAAGAAATACTTTGTCTCTTTTTGAAGCTAGCGTTGTTTCTAACATTTCTTTTTAAAGGTCAGGATTAGAGGTCTTCCCAACATACCCATTCCATCCTGACAGGGGGGAAAAAAAGTGGAAGCTAAACAGGCAAAACGCATTTCTCAGCTCCCTCTTTGCTATGGCATGTAAAACACACACAAGAAACCAGTTAGCTGTCAGTTAGTGGCATTCACGTAGTTTTGTTTGTGGGTACAGCACAAACACAGACACCACACTCAAACATGTGTCCTGTTTTAATATCACCACAACCCATTCCTAGAGTTAATGGTTAATAACTCACTTAAGCCTAGAGATATTTTTTTCAGTCAAAGGCTTAAACTGGTAATGGATGAAAATACTGAAGCACATTATTATAGCCATGCAAAAATAATCAAAATGACATAGGCCTGGTTCTACAGACTTTACTGAGGCAAATCTCCCATGGAAAGCAAGAGCAAATTGTCCCAAGAAAAGATTGCCAGACATATTATTTGTTATAGGAATGCTTTAGCTGCTAAAGAACTTCTGAGAAACCCAGTAATGCCTCAAAGTGAAATTAGATATTTTTATCAGCGTGCCCAGACACTGCAGCATCATGTCCCCGGATCATTTGAAAATATTTTTCCTAACACTGAGAGATTGAGCAGTTTTCACTCCTTTTGGAGCCAGGGGCAAGGGCACTCTATCTTGCAAAATCCAGGCACAGAGCTGACTGAATCCCTTCAGTTGCTTTTCTGAACTTATGATCAGACTCAGTGTTAACAGTCAAGGATAGTAAAGATAAAGTCAGAGCAACTCTGAGAAAGTTGTCACTTGAAGGATGTTGCCTCTCAGTGATGCTAGATAGCCAGTGGAAAAGAAAAATGAAGAAAGAATGTACCTGAAAAGAACAGCTTATTTAGAAATACATGAAGTCAGAATAGTCATGAGTCATGGATTTCTACTGTTTTCCCCATAATGAGACATTAAGTCTCGTATGTGCATAGCGTACTTAAAGTATAACAGTATGGACCCTCTGGTCAAATACAAACCATCAACAGCCTTCTCTCAAAAGTGCCTACCACATGTAAGCTTAGCATTTACTGCACTTGGTTTGGGGTCAGACTCTCTTTCCTTGAATGAGAGCAGCATTTTTTAGAAGGATGGAAGGGACCTCTAGTGGGTCATCTTAACCCTAACAGCCTAATGGTTTTTTACATACTGTACCCAATATGTGAATGCAATCATTCCAGTGTCCATTGCCTTCCCACTCTGTGTGTGTGGGTGAGATACTGTTGATATCTCCACTATGGAACGCTTCTTACATCAGCCTTCTTGGGCGAGTGTTTTTACCTAATTTACAAACACAGGAGTTGTTTGGATAGCTGAGGCAGAAGGAGGCAGAAGGTCAAAGAGATATGTATCTACCACATCTTCTTTGTTTTAAGAAGATTTTTGATCTGGAGCATACAAAGGAAATTGGTAGGCAAAATGTAATCCTTAAGTCTGGCTGAGTAATAAAAGTCATGTGAAATGTAACACTACGTAATGTTATACAATCATCTGGAATAGCAGAATGTTATTTGGGGCCAGACTTGATGCTAAATATCATACAGACATTTAAACAGAAACCCACCCTCTTTGGCACACCAACCCCTCACACGTCAATCCCTGCATTATTTTGGAAATGCATACTCACTCAAGATGTAGATCTTGTAATGCTCTTTGACTGCCTTGTGTGTACTGGAACCAACTCTTTAGGTTTCAGCTCTGTAAAATGGAATAGGTTTTCAATCAAGAGTACTTTAATAACAGGCTTTATATATTCAAGATTTTGTCACAGTGGGTAAATTGACCAAACACACATTATAGGATTAAGGCAGCTTTAGGTTGTCTGTGATAAAAGGAATTATCCTTGGTAGTTTACAAGAGGCAGTAGGAAAGCTTTGCTCATCACATGAGACATACGGTTTTAGACTCAATAAAGCACTGCGATTTTGTATGCTTTTTATAAATGAGAAGAGTGAAAGGAGAACTGCATTTCCCATGCAAATATCCTGGGAAAAGAGACTACTGAAGCTAGGAGTGTAACATGAGCCACAAAGGACAGCGTGACAAGCAGCACAGAAGTATGCCACTCAGAGTCCAAGGTGCTAGTTCTGTTAGCATACTTGCAAATGAGACTGACCTTAATGAGAAGGTTGTTAGAGATGGCTATTGGAGAGCTTCAGGGAGTCCACTGGTCAAAAAAAATTCTCCTGGAGGAGATCTTGAGCTTGCCTTAATGGTCACAGCTGCATTGAAGAGAAAGAAACAATAGGGGTTCAGCTCAGTGTTACCACATTGCATTTTTGCTTAGGGACATTGAGTTGAAGGGCATACAGTACTTGCCCTAGGGCCTGAAGTAATCCAAAACTGATTTTGGGATGCTTAAAACAGTGTTTGGTCAAATATGTGCTCATAAACCTGAGGACATCTATGCCTGATTTTGAGCAAGTGTCCCTACTGTATGACTTCATGAAAAAAACAAAGTCATCTTTCAGTCTCATTGTGGAATGAGGAAAAGCTGCTGTTTGAATTTTGCTGCGAGTAATAGAGATATAATATCATTTGAACCCATCACTTGAATTCAATACTCAAAAAGTGCAGCTCGACAAAGACAAAAAACGAAGGGGATGGTCTTTAATCAATGCTACTTGAAGTTAGCAATTTCAAATAGCTCTGCTGTTGATCAAATCACAGATCTAAAGAGTTTGGCCAAAGGGACAGAGAAAGATAAATTGCAGAACACTCCCAATCATTTAGCATACTGTCTTTGTTCACCACATTTGGAAACCTGGTAACACAGCAGGATAATTAGGGATGGGAAGGAAGGAATATTCACTCACAGTTATGTGTCTTCTCCCATTTCACCCACATGCAGAAACAACTTAGCCAGCTAACTGACCAAATGATTATACTACAGGCGAGGCAGTGAATTAATTTTCTTTGGCCAGTAAGAATCCCGTCACATGCAGCACCCTGATGCAAGAGGAGAGGATACATAGCCAATCTCAGCACACTGAAGGAGGGCAATTGGAAGGATAAACTGTATTATAGCATTCATGGGAACACAGCTTAATTCCCAGCTTGCGTTCTCTCTGTGGTTCATTGAGCAGCTGTGCATCTACCCCACATCAAGGAAAAAACATATATTTTCTCACAGTTATTTATTATCCAGGTGCCACTTGCATATTCTTTCCTCAGATGTTTCATACCTTCCTTGGCAGTACATCTCTAAAAGGCAGCTAGCTAACCATCTCCCAGTTCCTCGAAAACAAGACAGAGAATAGTGAACCAAAAGGTCACGAACTCTGGAAAACTATGAGACCCACTCAAATAAACCAGGATGCTCTTGAAGAAGATCCAGGAAAAAGGGCTAGCGTAAAACTCAGACAGCACAGCAGACAAGAAATGTGACCCCAAAAGTTCACGCTTCAGGGAATACTAGAAAGGCATCTAAAACCATAATTAGAAGCAAGCGGCCAAGCAGTAAAAGCAACAGGAGTGGCTGAGGCTCATCTCTGCTGATGCTCAGGCTGCCTCTTTGGATAGCTCATTACAGACCGAAGTGCTTATATTTTAGGCACCCAAATTCGAACGTTTTTCCATTATGAAAATTGCACTTATTTAAATTTAGAAATGAAATGAGCTTTTATGTATTTATTTATGTCTTTGAAGTACATGACTGAGCAGAAGAAAATTATTAGAATGATGCTGTATAAACACAGCTTCCGGCTTCAGTACAAAGTACTTTTTATTCCCTCTCTTGCTTGACTGCACTCAAGCTTCGCTATCTGACCCTTCGGTTTTCCTATCTCTGGCAACGGCCTTCCTGCTTTTACTGCCTGAAGTGGGATATATTAAGAGTTGCAATGCTTTCCTAGAACAGAGCAGTGACTAATCCAACTCCAGGTCCAGTGGTGTGTGATCGGTCAGCTGAGAATTTTACCCGCTTAGGTCTTTCCCTTCTCTGTAGGGAGCAGCTACTCTGAGAAGCAGGAGTTGCTCCAGCAGTCTGACTTCACTGGATGTCTCCAAGTCTGAGAGCTGGTACACAGTCACTGTGGCCACCACTGCCAGAGGAGAGAGGAGCTCTGCCAAGTACTGGGCAATAACCAAATCCTAAATGTTTTTTTTTCCCCTCCTCTTCTCTCTTTTTTTAGCAAACGTGCTGTATCAGAGCACCAGCTGTTGCATGACAAGGGCAAGTCAATCCAAGATTTACGAAGAAGAATATTCCTTCAAAATTTAATTGAAGGTGTCAACACTGCAGAAATCCGTGCAACTTCGGAGGTTTCACCTAACCCTAAGCCTGCTACCAACACAAAGAACTACCCTGTCCGATTTGGTAGTGAAGATGAGGGCAGATACCTAACTCAGGAGACAAACAAATCACAGACCTACAAGGAGCAGCCCCTGAAGGTATCGGGGAAGAAAAAGAAAGCAAAGCCTGGAAAGCGCAAGGAACAAGAGAAGAAAAAGAGGCGAGCCCGCTCGACTTGGCTAATTTCTGCCATGTATGGAAGTGGCGTGACCGAGAGCCCACTCTTGGACAACTCTGTTACTACACATAATTACACTTTAAGGTAATTCTGCTATATTCTCTTGGGGTTCATGCCATATATTTACCGAAATTGTCATCCTTTGGTGTAGAGGCCAAGGCCTCACTCAAACCTTGAGTAATAGCTCACCTTTACGCTCATGACTGGGCAGTGGCTTTTCAAGCAGTGCACAGTCTCTAGGTGCTTTCCGGAGGTAAGTGCCCTTTCCACTTTGCACTGGTGACAAAGTCTTTCTGTCTTAAGGCAAACAATTCAAGTAAAGCACTTGTTGCCAAAATGAGCTTCCTGAAGCTGAGTTAGTAAGTAAAGTTACTTATGCAAAAAGAAAGCCCATCATAGCCGTTAAAATTGCCTTTCCTGTTTTAACCATAGTGTCTCTCATGACAGATCTTGGTCCCAGACTCGGGCCTCAGCAGATTGAAAGCTTTATTTAAGTCTCTCTATCTATAAAATGGCAAAGTTTTCTTTCCTCCCTCTCAACGCCTTCACTTTTTGGCAACTTTCCTTCCCTTACTTTACAGTTTTTCATTTTACTGTTTAACCTTAAGAGAGAACACGGAAAATGTCTCTCAGTAATATCTGCAAACAACGCAGACCAGCCTTTTTCCATAAAATTTTCCCTGCCATTAGGACTTTTTAATTCAGCTCCATCTTTTTGCCAGCTTGTGAAATAATTATGTTGCTGCTGAAAAACGTTACGCATTGCTTTTGGAGAGAGACGTGCTTCCCTCATGTGTGACAATGAAGGATTTTCAGGGCAGCATCAAGCTGGGGACTTCAGCCTAGGTGCCCCGAGCGACTCCTCTGCTTGCCGTTCTCTCAGCTTGAGTGGAAGTCTGCACCCTTGCAGACAAAGCCAAGGAATCCAATCCTCAGTTTGCCTCAAATGTTTACATTTTCAAACGGAAAAAACTCACCTTTTTCTCCTCCTCCCCTTCACTTTGGCAGAATAGAGACATAAGAGAAGTGCCACTTGCTCACAGTAAATCCCTTAGAAAGAGGCGCCAGCTGTGGGATTTACTAAAATCCAGTGTTGGGTTAAGCTTTACAGGTCACAGTTTGCAATGTGCTCCATTGCCTCAACTTCTGCTAGCATCTACAGGAGTTACTAACATTCGGGGGTAGGCATTCAGTGTCGCAGACCATACACTGGTTAGCATGGCTGTAGCAGTTAGTAGTAGAGTAGGAGCGGCTGGTTTGTCTCAGTGCCTTAGGAAAGGCACACTCCGGGTCAGGACATGCCTGGTGTTTCAACAGATGTGAAGGAACTGTGGTGGCCAGTAAGTAACACCTGTCTTCAGCACATAGAAATCTTGAATGTAGTGGAAAAACATCTTAGGGCATTTCAACTGTTATTTCTTTCTTTGGTTGTATATCCAATGGGATACGTAAAAGAATTATGGGTACAACCCTGTTGATTTTCCTAGTTCAGCCGTTCTGTTTCTGGATGGCTGAGGCCAGTCAGCGTTACTGTCAGTCCAGACTGAAGGACGTCCAGCTTTGCCTTACTGACATTGTTGCTCAAGATGCAGTATCTTGGGCAAGGCAAGATACTCCAGGGCAAGAAACAGATTCCTGAAGAGGATCTGCATTTTAGGTACTTAATTGAAGATGATTAAACAAAAAGAAGCCATAAAACAGGAAAATTAAATTCCTCCTTCCCAAGTACAGAGCATAATACGCTGGTTCAGTTCTCAAGAAACTGCTAGTATACAAGCCTGTAGCTATCCCAGTAGGCTGGAAAAAGACATGATTTCTAAACTTCACATGAAAGCAAGTCCCAACTCCCTGACAGGTACTTTAGGTATGGGGAGTCAGGTTCAATGCAGTCATCTATGAGGTTGTTGGTACAAGCTGAGCTAGCACAGTTTAGATGGAGGAATGACCACACCTGGGGGAGATTGATTCCTCAGCTGTACTGAGCTGAATCACGAATTTCTACTCTATCTGCTGTTGGGGGGCAAGGAAGGTGTGTGCAGACAGGATTTCCATATGCTAAACCAGTAGAAGTTGCTTTTGTAGCATTCCTAAGGCTAGCTGCAGCTTAGGAGAAGCGTCATTACTTTAGAGTGAAGAAATGGATATGGAGAATGAAGCAGGGTAAATGTCAAAAAGAAGTGCAGATAAACTTTACATGACATCTTTATAGTGCATCCTTGAGTCATAGAATGGGTTGGGTTGGAAGGGACCTCAAAGATCATCCAGTTCCAACCCCCCTGCCATGGGCAGGGACACCTTCCATGAGACCAGGCTGCTCAAAGCCTCATCCAGCCTGGCCTTGAACACTTCCAGGGATGGAGCATCCGCAGATTCTCTGGGCAACCTGTTCCAGTGACTCACCACCCCCTCCAAGAAGAATTTCTGCTCAACACATTGAATTAAAATATCCATGTCAATTCTCTTCGTCCAATCTTGATCCCAAAATTTTGGGTTTAGGACAGAAAAAAAAGACCAAAAATAATATGCTCTCTAGATCTTTTGACTTCAGAAAGTATGTCAGAAGGGAAGCCAATCTTGCAAAATCTGGGACCAAGTCACAGAAAGCAGCTTGCAAGTAGTCATTAGTACAGAGCCCATTGTCAAGATGTGGCTTAGCTTAAACTCTAAAACAAAGCCTAAAATTCAAGCCAAATTGAAAAAGGTCACCCTCTTAAAAATAGGCCTCTGTAGTGCAGACATACATATACTTTATGTACATATACTTTATTCATACAGTCATGCTGTATGAATTGTGTGCCATTATTGTAATAGAGCCTGAATACACCCTAATATTACTAGTTAATTAAGGAGCTTCATGCTAGCATTTCCATTCCAGACACATAAATTTTTTCTCATGGACATTCCAGCTATATTCCCATTCCAATTCAATTAAGCTGTTATTACCTAATTTCCTAAGAAACCTTTCAAATGAGTAAACTCCCTAATGTTAAATGTAGTCTTGCTTTCAATGTGCACATAAAAAAACCCCTCTTAAACGCCCAAGGATTTGCCTTTTTTTTTTTTTTTTGTGTCTCACACCCACACATGTCTGCCATGTGGAACACTACCCACAGCTTTGGTGATCAGTCCAGCAACAGAGCGAATCCCGCTCCATCCTATAGCCGCACATTCCACCCTATAGCTGTTTCCCAGGGAACCAACATGCATTGCAGAAATGTGCCGTTCACAAGGACAGAAGGGAAAAAAGCCCAACCCTTCAGCATTTCCTGCAGTGCTGCTAAGAACTAACTTAAAATAATATGGTAATAGAAGTAATATACTGACAGGGTAGGAGCAGGCTCTGCTTTTGTTCTTTTTGTTTGTGCCTTCACAAGGAAGGGAGGAGTAGAGAACTCACACCAGGCTGCCAGCATCCCTTAGAAAACTCCCAAATCTTAGGACTGTATGCAGCTGGCTGTTTCAGCTTGGGCTGAATGCAACAGGAGTCAGAGCTTAACATGATGAGATGCTCACTTTGTTTGAGGACCAAGCTCTTTGGCTCACCAAGGGAAAATTTCAGAATTATAGTCTTTTCATTCATTCAAGCACTTAAAAATGAGGCAGGCTGTCAAGAGTCTGTTCATTTCAAGACCTGAGCAGCCTTTACTGCGTGAGTACTGCACATGTTCATGCACATGACACCACGGAAATACATACCTCTGCGACGAACAGCCCCTTGTCTAACAGTTGGTCTGTCGGTGGGAAAGACAGACCAAATAAGCCCCATGGGACTGTTTTTATCAGAAGCCCGGCATCCCACCCAGGTGGTTAACACAGCAGGGGTATAATTGCCACAATCTTCAATATGGACTTTATTTTTCTTATCTTCAAAACAAATTGTTCATTTCTCAAACTGTATTTTTTCTTTTTAGCACTTGGCATATTTATTATAGTTAGATACAATTTTTCTACCTGTAGCACTCGGGAATCTTCTTTCACAAGGCTCTAAAGAAAACGAAAGCCCCTTCCTATTTCTCTGAGTGTACAATATAGTGGAATAGGTGGCTTCGGTGTCATGACAAACTGCAGCTCTTCATACTGCTGGCTGAGCTGCATTGAAGAAAATACAGTAGAGGTCTTGAAAAGTTGTCTAAAACTGTAGCATTGTTAAACAGGCCTTATTATTGTAAATGTTTACTAGCACAACATAGCCGACATGGTTTGTGGCCCTCCTGCTATTAATTTTATGTCCATGTATTTGAAGTGAAAACTAATTTTTCTGTCCTTTTTTTCTTTGCAGGAGGCGCTGACATTTTCAGCAAGACATTTTTGGAAGACATATTGCAGTATTCTGTAATAGTGAACATATGGGAAGTATTAAAATATTTATTACCTGTAAATATTGTAAATGCTCAGAATAAAACCTTTTCCCCCCATTGCTCTCTGAAACTGCACATTTGGTTATTGTGAATTCCCCCTCCCCCCCCGCCCCCCCCCTTTTTTTTTTTTTGGCTAAGGCTAAGACAATTATTATTGTCACATTTACCATAATTTATTTTGTTGACTGGTGTATTTATTTTGTGAACGTATCTTGGTGCTGCTGACTTTCTATATTTTTTGTAACATAATGCACTTTAGATATACATATCGAGTACATTGATAACTGACATAAAATGTTCCTGTTTTGTGGTCGACTCCAATGAATGCCTACATACAATTGTTCAAATCGATTCTCCTTTGTGCATGTATAATAGCAGTATTTTAAAATTTGTAAAGAATGTCTAATAAAATATAATCTAATTAAATCATGACTCAGAAGGAAAAATGTGTCCATTAGGAATTTCAAGAGCAGAAACACAATTTTTTTTCTTTACTACATTTGAAAATCATTTTAAATTTAATGTGTTTATATTGGTTCAAAATCCCACATTTTCACATTAGCTTTTACTTAAAAATCACTCAGAACACATTTTGTTCCAGTGCTCTATTTCAATTCAGCTAAGCTGCTGAACAACCTGGGGGTACTGTCATATAACCCAGATCCCACTGCAGGGAAAGCACGATTCCCAACCTTGCCAGCCCCCAGCCTGACTAAAGCATTACACTCTACAAATGAGAGGATGTGAAAAGCAGCCCCAGGGGATGCATCACTTACTACACTCTTGGAAGGTGCTCACATGTCACACCCCATAGTCTTGTTCAAAAATAGACAGATGCTCAGTATTCTGAGCTCCCACCAGCTTTACTCAAGGATGAAAATGCCTACTACATGCGTAGAATCTCAGCTCCTTGTACTTTGAGACCACCTTATGTTAATGTGAGGGGAAAAAAGAATGTTTCCTGTGTGTGTATATAAAGGAAAGAAAAAATGGAAACCACAGTAGGTGACACATCAGTAGGTACTGTTTCATTGCTTGAATAACTTTTCCTCTCTCTCACCACAAAGATGCCTCACATGGCTCTGTTTCTGAAAAAAATCTGCATTAATTTTACTTCTTCCTTATATCCATAGATAATTGAAGTTAAGGGGGAGACCACCTTCATTACTTCACGGCCACTGACTGAAGAAAACAACATAAAAAAATTACGAACTCTCACTTTCTTCTAAAGTGAACACGAGTCCTGTTTCCTATCCCATTCACTGCCACCCACACGCTAATCACAACAGCTGCTGTGGGGGCAACCTTAATAAAGGAGATTGTTTCACGGAGATATCTGTGCTTTGTAAAATCCCACTGAATTTCCTCTGTCTCACTCCTTTAACATCAGCAACATCAGAAAAATGCAAGTGTGGAAAAATAAATTACAAATCCTGGGAATTTTAAGATAGTTCTTGTAATTGTTGCTCCATTCTGTCGTTGCCAAGATTTTATTTTTTATTCTTCTTTCCTTTTTTTTAAGTGCCATCTTTTTCCATTGCCAAAGTACAGCCATCATGTAATATAAACCAGATGTATTTCTGCTCTCTACCCAATCTTTCAGAAAGATCCAAGAAAACACTAAAAGCAAGAAAACTTGAGAAAAACTTACCCATCCTCCCCCATCCACTTCTCTGAAGTGTGAAATTCAGCGCTTCATTATGTCCAGTTAATTACTGCAGTCACAAAGCACATGCATATCGTTTCCTTCTCAGATGAAAAATATTATACATGATGAAACATAGCACAACTTCAGGGTTGCATTAAAGAAAAAAGGCATAGTTCCTGCACATTTTCAACTTGGCCTCCTTGCACATCCTGACTATTTATAGTATCTAGCTAATGCTTGCATTTATACAACTGAAGTTAACTGCAATATATTCAGATGATTTTGTATCTCAGGATTACCAGCATATCCCAGTTGGAACTAAAACCCAAAGCTATGGTGGGCAGAGGCAATTTACCTTCGTCAGCATGGATGATCCTTGGCAGAGAGGGGACCCAAAGAGCATAAAACAAAACCATACACCCAAACACTAAACCTTGGCTCCGTAGAACTGGCCACTTCCTAACAGGAGGCCTGATTTTGAAGGGCCTCTTGTCTCCCCTGTATCTTTACACTGGTCATTAAGGAATTTCAATTTTTTTCTAGTTCCTACAGGTAAAATTTGTAACTGTAGTGAATTTTGCTTGAAGTCCTGTTTTTCTTAAAGACTTTTACACAGGCCTTATAAAAGCTGACTATGGATCCTCTGTTTCACAGACTATGGTTTGAAAGTCACTGCTAAAGACCATTGGATTTAACCCTGCGAAGTTGAATGCAAGGTTTTTTGAGGTCTTAATTTTGCAGGAAAACAAATCGTCAATACCCCTATTTCTGAGCCAAGCTACAGCAGCTCCACCTTCCTAGTTTGGGGGTGGTGGTGTGTAAAATCTTCAAGAGATTTCAGTTACTCAGATGATTGAACCCCAGTGTTTCAACTTGTTTCAGAGCCCCTGAAGGAATCAGGACTTATCCTGATATTTTCTGATGTGCAAATGCAAGGTATGATTATTTCAGAGGAGGAAAAGAAAGTGTAGTAGAGCTTCAATCTTTGCACTGTATGACCTCTTGGAAGACTGCACTTTTACATTAATGTTTGTCTGCCCACTTGATGTTCTACATCGCACATGTGCACATCTAAACACACCTCAAATGGACGGTATTGTGGGTACAGAGGCACTCCGAGAGTTTGGAAGTACTAGAAAGAAGGTTGCTCACACAGCTTTCATTTGGTCTCTTTGCTCCCCACATTACAGTCAGGGCAAGGATTATATGATCAGACATGATCAGATATTACAGTTCTTACTTCTGTCACTTATTTTCTCTTCCTTCTGTCTCTGCCTAGCCCCGCTTCCCCATCCATCCCTCATTCCTTTTCCCATGTTAAAGCCAAAATCCAGCTCTTGTCTTTTCATCCAACATCAGCTGCTTTGTGCTCTCCTTGACTCACTGCTTCTGCTCCAACCATTTCTGTCACCATCCCGCTCCTTACTCCTCCTTCCCTCTTCACACCCCAAGTCCTTTCACCTCTGTTTCTCCTGGTCCCCACCATTTTCAGCCACACTCCACCTTCACTCCTCGTTAGCCAGCTAATCCCAGACCTCACCTCACCCACATCAGCTTCCTTCACCAGACTCCCAGCTCAGCATGTCCCTCTTCTGCACCCTGGCTCACAGTCACTGATCTTGTGTTTCTCCAAGCCCCTTGTCCCAGCTTTTCTCCTGGCTGGTCATGCTCTCCCCTCAAAAGCCACACCATCTTCCTCCTGCTCTCTACTTGCCAGCAGGAAAACCTAACAGAGCAGCGTGGGGAGGCTTCCTCCTCACTGTTGCTTTACATCACCCTATCCCAGTGCCTTTTCCCAGTCTCCTGGCTAAGCAGGTGTTGTGGGCGTAGTCTGTATTTGCCCTCATAGCCTCTGACCATGAAACTACTCAGATGGCAGGGTCTGTGCTCCTGGTGGGACCTGGATGGTGGTGGGGTACCTTTGGTTGTTTAGTAAGGGATGTGCACTCAAAGGCTAGTCATGCCCAGTGATGAAGATTTTTGCTGATAAGTGAAACTTCATTCACTGAGTGTGATTTTTCGGAGGATTACAGCATCCTCAGGTGTTCTTAAAGGTGATTAAAGAACATTCCTAATGCAGAGAATGCACTTCCAAATTTCCATTTATTTCCCCTGAGCCATAAAGTCACTAGGACTTCTCAGAAGAAATTCCAGAGTATTTTTAACATGGATAATACAGTGTGTTTCCCTTCTTTTGTATTTACAGATGGTATGACTATTTTTGCTGAAATTTTCTAAAAGACCATTTACATGTTTTTAGCTTGAGAGGTCAAATTTGAGTCAGAATTACAAAGAAATGAAGCCAGAGTGTCGTACTAGGAGATAGTGGACTACCTCAGAAGTGCAATGAACAGCTGTCCTGCCTCTCAGATCCAGCTAACATTCAGAAATGTTGTTATTGCCCAAGACCTCCAAGGGGAACCTACATTTGGCACCCCACTGCTTTAAAGTAGTGACCATGTTTACTACAGAACTTAGATGCTGTTAAGAGACATCAAATGATAACAGTTCTTCACAACAGTTACCCTGTCCTGGACCTCAAAACCAGACCTTTTTAGTCTCTGTGCAATTGGCAGCGGTAGCTCACCAACAGTGGAATTCCACTCACAGAGTTTGTGTCGTGGTCCTTCGTAAATACAGACATTCATTTGGCTTTCAAGACACACACACACAAAAAGCCAATGTAGTTTGTGCCTACACTATGAAATGACCCTATGGTATCAAGGAAGGGATTTCAGGCACAGCAATTATTTGGTTTAGTTTTAGGCATTCACCATCTCAACATGTGGACAGCACTATTCCCAATATAATGCACCTACAGTGTAGTAATCATGCATGTTCACTTATGAGTAAGTGTCCTTGATCTCCTGAGCCACCACAGAGAATTTGGCTCTCTTGCAGTAATTCAGAAAGTAGGGGAATGTTGGCTGTATTTAGTTACAGTCTTTTGAGAGTTTAAAACATTTTGTTATTTGGTCATAATTTACTGCAGAAAAAAGGTGCTGCAATAGCTTCTCTGGAGCCTGAAGGTCTTTTTTTAATTACAAAATAGATACAAGCAGAGGAAACACAAACATTTTAAGCACCACGCCATGATACCTCTCATAATAAAGTGGAAACCATCAGCATGAAGAGTCAGGTCATGTGACCAACAAACTCATTAAAAGTATACACTTTTTGCACTAACGATACCACCACCGGTTTCTCTAAGGGCTTCAAGTTTTTTTAAGAGGCATGTGCATTCACCCCCGATTTTAACAACAGGAGCACTGGAACTTCTCGGAGAAGTCATTTTACTTTTTTATTCCAGTTATTATTCAAAACAGGATCACACTTGCCCGCTTTTCAAAAATGTTCTGAGCTCTACTCAAGTTTTGATGCAGACAGGCAAAACACTGTATAGCCTCCACACC